ACAGCAAGGAGACTCTTACCGATGATCTGCCGACCACTGAGGATATTTTTACGTCAGCACTGTGGGCGGTGCAACCCGGATGCGGAATTCGTATTGACGAGCCATCGCTGGGATTCGAACCTGGTTCACCTCATTCGAAGGCGAATGCTCTATCTCCTGAGCCACCGCGACACCCAGATCAAGCATTGTGGACAAACTAGGCTTCGTGAAAGACTTTTTGATGGAAGTAACCAGCATTTGTGTTACTTGATGAGGAAAACTTCCCACGGTTAGCTGGACGGCATAGGAATTCTAACCCACACGATTTATCTAAAACAGATATTTTACATCAGCCCTGTGGACGAAGTGAGCTGGGAGTAGAATTCGTTTCAACCAGTCACCGCTGAGATTCTAACCTGGGTCACTTCATAAACGCAGCTCTCTATATTAAGTTTACAAAAATATTTTATTCTTAATAAACTTCTAATGCAGAGAAAAGAGATGCATAATCAGTTTTAAATGGGTAAGCAACAAAAACCAGATAATGCTTTGTTGAGGACTAATATTAATATGATTAATTGTAAAAATGAAGAGTGTATTTAAATTCTCAATTGGAACAAAATATGAAATGAAATACACATATGGCCAATTATTTTTGTCGGAACGCAAATAAAAAAAATTTATAAATAAACTATTTAAAGTAAATAAATCTAGACTGATAATAAGTAGGAAAGGAGATAAGAAATTTTCTTTTTCTCAAAAAGTTGCATTTTATCACTAAACGAGGAACAAAATTTTTTGTTACTAACATAGTATCAGATTACTGCGATAATAATTGAGTGCAGTCTACCATTCAGAGGAAGGTAGAATTAGTTCAACAACTTACTTCTACAAAACACAGCTGAAAAAGATGTTTTTTTCTGTTGCTTTTTTGTATTTTTATTTTAAACGAATTCATGTGTCAAAACGCTTCGAGGGATATGAGCCATAGGTTATGCATCCCGGTTCCATTACAATAAATAATACTACCTAAAAAATTTAAAAAACTAAACAGTAGAAATGTCTTCATTATAACTGGAAAAATTTTAAACTATATAAATCGAATAGGCTTTTATCTATTTGGTCGAGAGTTAAAATAATTTTCCTTTAAAAATATGATTTGCAATTATTTATTTAAAGCTTTATACAACGAGAGTCAGTCAAGGAAATTGAAACTAAATTTCAAGAATTCTTAAGTACTTTTCAAAAGGATTATAAAAATTTTTAAAAAAAATTTTATTACTGGGAAAATAAACTTTTCGTTTTCCATTAAAATATGTACACTATACAGAGATAAAATATAAACAGTACAAGAGAGTTCATTAAAAAAAATTAATAACGAATAAATATCGTCTTTACTCTTAAAAAACACAAGTTTTTAAATATTTTTGATTGTTTGTTATCCTTCATTTCTAAGAAGTTATGTAAGAGGTATAACAAGTGAACAGAAGACAGTATAATAATAGAATAATCGCTCTCTCTCAGTAACAAGAAGATTACAAGAAACCTAAGATTTCTTAGAAACCATGCAAACATTTGGGTATGATAAATTTTTCGTAACTTATGTTCGTTTAAAGTGCAGGATGATTTATTTTAGGTTATTTATTTCCTTAATAAATTTTCCATTTAATTATGGTTTTATTTTATTTCTGTATGGTGGAGAACCTATTTTAATTTGAAATTTTCTTTTTGCATTACAATGAACATGTTTGAAAAGTTTTTACTATTTCACAAAGTACTTAAAATTCTTGTTCATTTTTTGTTTATGTATAATTTTCGAAATAAATACGAGCAAAAATATCGTTCGATTTTTCTTGTTACAGTAGAAGTTTTGATTCTAGATTTACTTTTCTCAGTGATGGATACTATGCTAATGTTTTTAAATTATATCTGATTATGTACATTAAAAAAAATTTGCATTATTTCACCAGCATTTGATACTAATTCAACCAAATACAAATATATATTGTTCCCAAATAAAAAATAATATGAATAGGTGATTTTTTTACAGCCTTTTTAATGTTAAATGTTTTCCTTTTAAATCTAAACTTTGGTCAAAGTTTATAAAAATATTTTTTAATTACTTATCAACATACAAGTCGTTCTACCAAATACTGACATTAACAAAATTCTACTTATAAGAGTTCTAGAATATAGCACCTACTTTTATATCGAGAAGTAGTTCATTTATCTACATGCAGCAGTAATTCAATAAGCACTATATTTCCTACTTAAAAGTTCTAAATAACATTTCATGGATGAATCATCCGAACATCTTGAAAACTGTTTCCCCAGCACCCACGGCATGCTTCGAAATTTCTGAAGCTGCTGTTTCTAATCCCTTCATGGTATTCTGAGCTGCTTCGCCCACACTTTCCTTCATTTTCTCACCATGCTCTTGTAGCTTTTCTTTTGCCTTGCTCATGCGATCACCCATATCCTCGGCGAAACTTTTCATCGAGCTAGCTGCACCTTCACCGAATCCTTTCATTGAACCTGCTGCATTTTCAGCGAAACCTTTCATGCTCTCGGCGGCATCTTCAGATTTTTCTTTGGCTCCCTCAGAGAGAGCTTTCAAGAAATCCATGCCATCTTCAGCTTTATCTTTAGCATTATCACCAAAACCTTTGAAGAAATCGCCAAAACCTTTCATGGATTCCCCAACTGCATCGTCAAAACCTTTCTTGGCTTCATCCGCTGACTTTTTAGAATCATCTTCTGATAAGCAGACATTTGCAATTGAAATGAGCAAGAGCCCAAGATAGAAAAATCTTAAGTCACGCATGATGTGTTAAAATAGACTGGTGCGGAGAAGAGTAAGTTTTCGACTGGACTTTCAAGAATCGAATCGAGGAAACTAAGTCAGACCGGCTTTATGTTTTTAGAATATTCTAGCGTAACGATTACATTATTCCAGTTGCTTATTATATGCTTTCCTGTTCGGGGGACCGAAAAAACCTCATTAATTTCTGTTTCTTTTTACTGAAGGTGAACAAGTAAACGGATGTGTGAACTTGATTATAAAAAAGAAACAATATCTCGAATTCTGGGAAATAAATTCGAGGGATAATTTACAAATTGCGGAACAACTTATCGCTCTACACTTAGAAGGGTTTTTTTTTAAATAATTATCTTCCTTATTTATTAAAAGAGCTTTCTGTTTCAAAATTATAATAATGGCATATTAAGCATTATTAAAAATTACCGACTTAAAAATGTAAACATGCATTAACAGTTAAGGAACATTTCATGACTAAAAATTTATCATATATCTGCACATTTTATTTTTTTAATTCGAATTTCATTTGAATAATGAAGGCTTGGTCAAAGATCAATTCGGTGATAGGATTGACGTTTTCCTCTTTAAAATAATAATAACAATTACAAAATTTAAATCTTTTTCCATCCGTTTCATTTATTTAACTGGTTTTGAATTTTCTTCTATCAGTTTTATATTAATACTTCCGTGGGAAAAGTTTTATATGTCAAGCATGTTTTTTAATTTTATGTGGGTGTAATTATTTCTGTGTGCGATTATCTAATAATCGAAAAATCAATCTCAAAAAAAAAAAAATTTTGCACCATATGCACCTGGAAAAAAATTTAAAAGTAGT